CAATGGGAGTCTGCAGGGGGGACCAAGTGAAAGTGGTTGGAGCTCAGCGGGGAGGGGGAGTCTGGGTGCAGGGGAGGTGGGGTTGTTGTACTTAAAGTACTGCACAGGATCTTTTCAGGCGGAATAAGGCAAACGCCACATTCATTGGTAATACATGCATCAATCAACACTGCATCATATGTATATGATCTATATTACACTCATGCACTCACCCACACAAACACACTCCGTCTTGTTGTTGTTACCAACTAGTTGCTCCCCTTAACTTCACTGGCCAGGTGAGTTAGATTGGGAGGGGTGGAGCCGGGCTTCTGCCGATCTGGATCAATGCTCCGATGTTGACAAGACCCAGGGTCCTCTGCAAGACACCTCACATTTATAGCAGCTTCCCTCTCATGCAAATCTATACCAGATTCAAAATCTGTGTCCATTAGTCCTTTGTGCTGCTTCCTTCTGGGTGTTGTACCACTGCTGTTCAAAGAGGTTGTTTCCAAAAGAAGAAGCTTGAGTCTAAACCCCAGCCCTCCCCCAGGCCATCAATATGTCTGCTCTTCTTTAGTGAGCCCACTTGACAAGTTTGATTGTCCTTGGGTCTGGATTCCATCCCCTCTCCAACTAGCTGTCCGGAGGTGCTTGCCTTCCACACCTTACTCTTTTACACTTCATTCATTCAACATGCCAATTGATTAAGGGAGTGTGGGGAGGGGGAATCTTATTCTACTCCTAGCAAAAAGACAATTTTCTTCTACTTTAACTATCCTTAGGGGCTCTAACATTATACCCAGGGCCGGCTCCAGGCACCAGTCTAGCAAGCAGGTGCTTGGGGCGGCCAATGAAGAGGGGGTAATTGTGTCCGGCCCTTCGGTGGTAATTCGGTGGGGCCGTCACTCCCTCTGGGAGCGAAGCACCTGCCGTCGAATTGCTGCTGTAAAATGAAGCGGCGGTAGAGCTGCCGCCGATTGCAATCGCGGCTTTTTTTTTTTTGCTTGCTGCTTGGGGCGGCAAAAATGCTAGAGCCAGCCCTGATTATACCAAGGCTTAACACAAAGTTTTCTGTAAGTTTTTCCACATAGGGATCTGATACAAAGTTCCTATATCAAATGACTTGATACAAAATTGTATGAAAATAGCTTAATACAGGGTTATATGAAGAGGCATAATACAAAGTCATATGACAGTTATGTGAAGATGCTTAATACAGAGATTTATCTACAGGGTTCATTTGGGTGGGGGTCTAGGTGTAGGTGGTTGTGGCTCAGTGGGGAGGGTGTCTGGGGGGGCTCATCTGGGTGGTACAGATGCAGGGGAGGTGGGGCTTGTCAGGGTGAGGGTTTGATGGGCCTGCTTAACAGGGGAGCCACAGCTGCTGCCAAGGGGATCCGCATGCAGGGACCCAGTTTCCCCTATCCCAGGGATCGGTAACCTTCGGCACATGGCCCACCAGGGTAAGCCCGGCCGGGCCGGTTTGTTTACTTGCCGTGTCCACAGGTTTGGCCGATTGCAGCTCCCACTGGCCGTGGTTTGCCGCTCCAGGCCAATGGGGGCTGCGAAGAAGCCGCGGCCAGCACATCCCTCGT